CCGCTTGTCGGCGACGCCGCGGCCGCCGACCGCGACGCGTTCCCTAATGTTCGGACGGTGCATCTCCGCTGCCTCGACGACCTGTGCCCAGGGCGCCTTGGTGAGGCTCGCGAGAGCTCGCGCGCGGTCGTTGGCGAGACCGTGCAGCGCAGCACGTGTCGAGCCAGGTGCAGCAGGAGCCTCCGAAGGCGGGGCTCCGAGGGACCGTGGGCGGCACCTCCAGCGCTGGCGCCTGGAGGCGCGCGCGCGCGCCAGAAAACGTCTTTTTCACCGGCGATGCGGGCGGCAAGCGCGGCCGCCGCCGTCCGGCACGGAGCCCCTCGGTCGGGCACCTTGCGGGTCGGGCGCAAGGGGGGGATAGCAAATAGATAGGGGGGGGTTTGAGAATCAGCTCACGTAGCTGATCTTCCCCCATCCCCCCCTGTCGTCCGGCCCGAACCCTGGGGAGCTGCGCGGTGCGGCGCAGCCAGCGCGCCACGCACCGGACTGGCGAGCGGGGACCTCGGGCCGCATGGCCGTGGCCCCCCCGCGGTGGCGCGGGCAGCCGCCTGCTCGCCCCCTGCTGCGCCCGCCGTGCGGCCGAGGGCGGCGGTGCTGCCCTTCGGCGCCGCCGGCGCCGGGGGCACGGGCCCGCGGCGCGCTCCACCGGGCGGGCAGCAGGGGTGGGGATGGACAGACCTCCGTTTACTAAAGCGTGGTTGAGTGACAACGACCTAAGGCCCAGACCTGGCGGGCGCCAGCCTGGAAGACAACGGCCGCGGCGCCCTCTCGAGAGCCGAGAACGGACAATTCGTGAATCGACGTGTCACTGTTGGGGGTTCTGTCCACCCCCGATGTAAGAGAGTGGCTGCGAAGACTGCGACAGAATCGCTCGGCGCCCTGTTGCCGCAGTGGGACAACAAAGATGCGCGTGGCGCGCGGGCGAGTGGTCCTGCAGTGCCGCCCCTCACGCGTGGTGGCCTCGGGCCAGCCCCTTGGCAGCGCAAACGCTACGGTCGGGAACTTTTGTCGCGGCGGCGGCCCCCGCGACACGCTATGCCATGCGAGCGGATGGCCTGTCGCTCCGCCTGGCGTGGCGGGAGGCTCGAGAAAACTCTGGACGTTGACGCTGGGGGACCCGGAAGTGGATAGCGTGCGCGTCGAAAAAAAGTGGAACAGAACCGGCGGAGCGACACGCTATCCACAAATTCTTGCTCTTGACCGACCGTAAGCCCCGGGGCCTGGGCCTCGTACCCAAGCAACGCAACATAGCCATATGGGGGGGGGGGAAGGAGGAGCAGCACCAGCAACAACGCCACCAACATCAAGAGGTTCCCTAGCGCGGCTCCTTGGCGGCGCACGCCGAAGGGGACGGCGGCACCAAGCGTAGGCGCGGGCGCCGAGGCTCCGAGCACTCTGCGCCCCGCAGGGGCGCACCGCCTCCGCGGCCGCGCCGCCGGCGCGGCCGACCCGGCCCGCGGCGCGGCCGACTGCTGTCTCCCCGGCCGACTGGCGGGGGGCG